AGTTAAAGAGACCCCTGGGGAAATACTTCCAAATGCCATTCTTGGATGTGGTTAACACTTCCCAACAAAACAATGCCTTAGCACACTATGTGTGTTCTGCTAAGCTGCTGCCCACATTTCAAAGAAATCATTAATCCTGATGTTCAGATGCTACTGAAAGGGAAGAGCGAACTGGGGAGCTCTGCAGAAGTCCCATCCTCAGACTTTATCTGTGCAAACTCAAAAGCTGAATCGTGTTTAAATGCAAAACTTAACAGGAGGACCACTTCCACTGCTCAGCCTAAAGAAAGAAGTACTTATGCTATTAATCATATTACAAAACAATGCTAAACTGTAACTTAAAGTCTGTGAAGACAGCGAAACCATGTTAGCACCTTGTAAGTTTAAGCATTGTTCTTGCCTGTTTTGGGCTAGTACCGTTCAATTCCTCAGGTCTTAAAGTCTTTACTGAGAAAAGCCTCTTTATTTCCAGTACCAGTTGCTAGATTGTGTGGTTTTCAGATAATGCTATTGGAATTGAGGTTGCTAAATGAGAACCAGAAGGCTGGAGCTAAGCAGATAAATTATAATTTCCAATTACCTCACCATAAATCGGGTTCCCAAAGAATTCTTCTACCCTATTTTCAGACAAAACATAAGGATCACCATCTTCACAGATTAAGGACACAAAAGTGCCTGTTAAAACCCAGAATGACATTATTAATCTTCTGGTAGAAGTTAATGATGCAATACATGCTCCTTTCCTTTTCTGAAGTGGTTGGTTGGAAATAACTTTTAAAACACTGCTAGGTGGCTATACATTTACAGATCTCCATGGAGGAGGACTTAAATCTTTAGTTTTGTGCCTTTTTTTTTTTTTTTGGTTGTACATATTAATAGTTTACCGAGAACCCAAGATCTTCCCGAGGCAAATGAAGTATCCAGAAAGGTAATACTACAATCCTACAGAAGCAACACGAGTGAGGGAAGGGAAAGCTAACCTATGAGACGCTAAACAAAAATACCCCAAAAGCTGGCAGGTTTTTTGTTGTTAAGTTTTAAAGACCTCTGGCTTCTGTAGAGAAAGCAGCCTCTAAATAACTCCATGTATGGACACGATTATTCCAGAGCAAGAAACACCCTATTTCCATCTAGCCTTGGAGTCTGTTCCAAAACAAGCATACCAATTTCAGAGTTACTCAGGGAAAGATAAATCCATACCCAACTTTATTTTACAGTAATTCCTCAACACAGCGTTACAAATACACCAGGAATTTGAGGCTCGATTTTTCTAGGGGTCTTTTGGCTAAAGGAACCCTTAAACAAATCAGGGCTCAAACAAAGCTATAATTAGGCTGATAGTTTACCCCACTTCTCCATCAGCTAAAGCCTCCACAGCTTAAGTTCGTAGCCTGGGCGCTGCTGAAACGGCAGCTTTTAATGAAAAAAGAGAAAGAATACAATGGGGAAAAGAGGATCATGTACCCTACCTAGGACTAATGTAATGCTGCGTGGAGCTGAAGCGTTGCTCTGTCATGAGGACACACTCACTTGAATTACACAGCTCAACGGAGCTACCTCAGAATTAGATGGCATTACTGCATCGCGGGCTTGTAGCGATGCCAGTCAGACGCAGACAGGCAGACTTCTTAACCTTCTGGCTGAGAAGATTAAATCCTTAACAGAGTGATCTCTTCTCTCCCCCTTCTTCCTCCTATTCCTCCACCTTTTAAAATAAGTAACAAAGGAACCTTTAACAATCCACCTGAAAGGGAGATTTCATTTCCTAGCATTTCTAACGTAATAAATAGGCTGGACCTCCAATGACAGAGAAACAAGTATCACCTTACCAAGCTGACAAAACGTGAGTAGGTAAACAAGAGCCTCCCATACCTTCATAAATATCAGGACAAAGGACCAAATATCTTCCTCGTGTGCAAGTTTCCCTTATTGAACAGCTGTAAGGAATTCTGACGGCATGTACAAACATAAAAATCTGCATTAACCAAATCCCTGAGAGAGCGTATAACTGCCACCACTTGGAAAAATAAGCAAGGTCATTCAGTCAAAAGATTTTATTTTTGTCTAGGATCAATTGCTTTATATGGCTTTGCTACCGAATATAGAAACATTACCCCATATACAGAGACGCTGTTCTTAAAGATTGTGTTTTGGGGGGAAAAACAGAGTTCTTTTTCCCCCTAAAATATCTTTTCAAATGTGTATTATAAAGAGCCAAGGAACGTCAGACAGGAAAAGGACCAACCAGCCACATTCTGGACTGAACTGTATGTGGCTTAACTCCACTAACTTGTAGCGGTTTTCAGAAATCAATGCAAATGTCATTAAAAAAAATTTTCTTTCATCTCGGAATTCTAGGGTTATTTAGTAACTCTGGTTAAGCTAGTCACCATGCTTAATTCCCTACATAAATTTTAAAAGACAATTAAGAAATGCTGTTCTAAAATAAGCCATGTCTACAGCAGGGCAGGCGATTCTTTTAGAAACTATGAGCAAACGTCTGATTAAGATGACAAGCCACATGGAAACTACTTCCAGAATCAGACTTAAAGGGCACTGTTACCAACCAAATTTGGCAGACAAGGAATCATGACGAACCGCAAAGGCATGCAGCAGCGCTGTAAAAAGTTGGGAATCATCAACAAATAAGACGGCAGGCACTCATGTCAATTCGGCGAGGGCAAGAACACGAACAGGACAAATTCTGAGCATTAAGCGCTGGATTGAGAAGAAGGGCACTGTGCCACAGTGGGAGTGGAGCTGGCTCTTCCATTTACAGACCGCTTGCCATAAACAAGCCGTTATCGGTAAGGCAAAGTATCTGCCTATTGCAGATATCTCATCCTGACATCCATCTTTCAAGAGAGCACAGTTTCAGGACAATTTTAATAGTAACAACGGGAAGCTGAAAAGAGAAAGAACTAAAAGCATGGCACGTATAACGTAAGGCTCTGTATTTTCCTAAAAGCTGTGTTTAAGGTCAGAACTCTTTCGGAGATCTGACGTTTATCGCCAGATAACAGCAGGCATCTAGCCTTATCTGTAGATATCCATTGCTAGATTTGGTATTTTTAATACGCGGTTATCTTTATTTAAGATCACTGTGCCTTCAGACGGCCTTTATGCTAAGGGGACGATGACTGGAATTTCAGCTCAAGCGGAAAGGCCAGCATTTATAGCAAATTCGTCAAATATTACAGGAAGCTGAACCGAGTCTCATTTCTATTTCCAGGAATATTAAGCTGCGCCAAGCACAGCTGCATTAACTTGGAAAGGGGACAGTAAGAAATAAACGACACTTTATTCTTCACATGGACTTTAGCAGTAGCGTAACACAAAACAAACCCAGCGAGCGAGCCCACTCAGCTCCCTTAGAATAACACGACCAAATCCTGAAAGCGTACGTGAAGTTTAAGCTCCTTTTTTGACCAGCGAAGCACAATTCCCCGAGCGGGCGGCCGCAGCAGAACTGAACCAACCGCGCACCGGCCCAAGCGCCGCTCCGCCGCGCCAGCTGTTTTGCCGCACCTCCCGCAAACTATTTACCTCGCCCCGGGGGCCGCAGCGGCGGACGCGGCAACCGGCACCCGCAGCCGGGGTCTGCCCGCCACCAGAACCTCACACCTTTGGTTTTTTGTTATAAACACCAAGGCTCTGTTTTGCGAAAGCCCAGACTGACTTCCTTCACAAGAATGACAGGAATCCTCTGGAGCATTAGCACCCTTCCTATTAACAGATACGGGTACATCACCCTCTTCGTGCACCTACCTAAAATAGCACACTGTGAACAGTGGTACGCTCTCTGGGCAGGTCCAAGAAAGTTAATGCTGTCTTGCTCCAATCAAGTAGAGCAGGCTTAACCCAGCAGTAGATGGCCACTAGGTCTCCCAAAATCGCAGCAGCATAAAGTGACAAAAGTCACCATCAGTGACAACAACAGCCAGGACAGGATCTCCCTGCTTTTCAGCCCTTGCTCCAGTCTTCATGAACAGTTTCCTTCACTAACTGGAAGACATGCATGTCAGTAAAGCGTCTTCAGTAGTCCACCGTCATATGCATACACAGGGCAGAAAAAACCCACTTCATTTCTGTTCGTACACTCACAAGCCAACTTTCTGTTGCACAAAATACTGCAGTGTGATACTCCTATGCAAGGGCACTTGCTTTTGAACACAAGAGGGGACGAGGGCGGAGGGGAACAAACCACAAATCTATGATACTTCCTTTCTGCATATTGCAGCACAGAAACAGAGATCTCCGTAAGAGGCAACACTGCATGTGCGTAACAAAAGAGCTGTCATCCTGGCCACCTTGAGAAGTTCTACCACGCTTATAAGTAGCACTGTAATCCATGGGGGCTGCTCCTGAAAGAAATACAGCCAGCTGCAGGGCAAAATGCTCAAAACGAGGAGAAAAAAAAAAAAAAAAAAAAAAAAAAAAAAGGGACAGAGGAACAGAATTACAGCGAAATGCTCCTGCCTGTCTTCCACGGGGAAGGGCTAAAAGCGAGCCGGGCATATCTGTGTAAATAATGGACTCACAGACACTCCTTTGGTCCTCCTAGCCCACAGCCCTTCAACACAAGTCATCACTGAAACAGTTTTAAAACAGTAGGAGAGGAAAAAAAGCCTGCTGCCCTTATCAAAAGCCCTCTGAGGACTTCTGATATCTCAAAATGCAAGAAATAAGCTGAAAACACTGAAGCATTCCTTAGTGCTAAGCCTCTTGGCCTCTGCCATCTAACAGGGCAGAGAATACGGCCTCCCCTGGACTCAGAAATCCAGGTAATGCCTCCGCAGTCCCCGTGTACAAAATCCAGGCAAACTCCAAGCTGACAGACTTGTATAGTTCAGCTCACAGTAGCACTGCCCCAGCTACAAATCCTAACAAACATTAAAATGATGAATTTATCTCCCCCCTCATCCCCCATATGAAAAAAGTATTCCAGTCAAAGAGACATCCAAAGATCTAGAAGGTGAGACGCATATAAAAACCCCTAATAAACCTTTAATTCGAGTTTGTTTTGGTTTTTTGTTTGTTTTTACAGGACAGGGTGACAAATTACAACAAACATCTGATTTTCCTCAAATGTTCAGGTATTATACACATTCCCATCTGTCTTGCAGGAAGGGATATTGGTCAACTTAACAGTTTAAGGTAAAATAAGCTGCATAATAGTACATATTACAATAATAAAATGTACAGTGTTTACAAGAAATATATTTTAGAAGCAAGATAGATGCATTTGCATCAAGGCGACCTTTTAAAATGCCACGACTATTTTTACATTCACTCTTGCAACAGGTCACAAGATGGGGTCACTAAGGTCAGGTTAACAAACCACTATGATGCACATCAAATACAACAAAATTAGTTTATATACATATATATAATACATATACATGTATATTATACATATACATATATGTATATAGTAAAACTCATCAAAATCTACCAGACCTGGCACAATCTACTTACCCATCAAAAATATGTACTTGCCTTGGTAAGTAGAATTCTGCATGGCTGATTATATATTATATATACTCATTCATTAGCATCTGAGACATAAAACTGAGGATTTAAAATTTTTCAGTTAACAAACTCTCCAATAATAAACATGGTGCCCACAAAAGCACAAAGGTAAGGCACAATAGGATTTTCTGTTGCAGAATAGTGTGCATCATGTTTACTTAACCATAAGAAAAACGTGCGTTATTTGTGCAAGTTCATGCTGCAAATCCATCGTATCTACAAAGTAAAGTGAGTTTCAGTAAAATTTGTGGGACTGGTGTGCTTCCAGTCTCACCTCCTACAGGATATTCAGCTGGATAATTAGATAAAATTGTTGTAGGAGTGGGGATTAGTAAAGCCAATAATCTTAGATTTGCAACTAAGCTTCTCAGCAACAATTTTGTACATCCAGGTAAACGTTAGTAAATTTACAAGCTTGGAATCACAAGATTTACTGTCAGCTGTACTTTTAGTTCCATCAGCCAAAATTGTTGCAAGGAAGTATGTACCTTTTAGAATTTTAACAGGTAACTGGTTCATTAAAACAAGTTATAGTATATTAGGAAAGTCACTTAATCCCAATGGTATTTTGTCACAGCCCTGGCAATTACAATAATACATACTGCTTTTCACAAAATATTTTTCCGGTATCTGCCAATTGCTTCTTTATTGCTCACAAATTTGAATTCATTACAATTGGTATCAGACCTTTCACACAAAGTCAGTCGGGTATTTTAATATAAAACCTATAAAAGATATTTAACCTGTATATCTAACACTTTAAGGTATTTGGCCTCTTGCCATGGTACGGCCAAAACCATATAAAACATTAGGTTTTGAATAAAGTAGGAAGCTTATTCACTGCCTCAATGCAGACATCCTCACAGAACACAACCATTTTTGCCACCACCAGCATTTACATTTATATACAAAACCTAGTACATCCGCATTCAGTTCGTTTTCCCTCACACTTATATGCAACCACGAATGCCAGATTAACTTTCCCCATACCCTAGCTGCAGAAAAAGATTCTTAATACAGCAACAAAAAACTAATATTGACTGAAAAAGATATTTTTTTTTTTTTTAAACTTATTCACCATCAGGAACTGTAGGTTGTTTGTTACAAAATACCCACAAGATTATTTCACAGGAAACTATGGAAATACAGGAAGTCTTCTTTTCTCCATGCTTTTGTATTATCAAAAACACTTCTTGGTGCAAAAATACAGTCACCACATCTGCAAATGTATAATGAATTCGGTATTCCTCATGCAAAACTTAAATGCATTGGTTTACTATAGCCCCGGAAAACCTCCTGAAGCAATTTTTTTTTTCTTTTTTTGTCAGCTCAGTATTACTGCCTCATTGCTAAGTCCCTTTGGAAACAAGATTTCTGGAACGTTCAAACTTTTATTTAATTCATTAAAGTATTACATACAAAAAGCACTAAAAAAGGAAGACGGCAGCCAAACAGGAAAACTCCTGTTGCAAGTAACAGTCCTAGCAGTTGTAGAAAGTCTTCTCAGGAACTTCCCTGAGAATTAGTTGTGCCTGTCCGAAGACGCAGATGTGACATAGAGTTCATGTGTTTGTTTGATGGCTTCAGCGGAGTGTTACAAGTAAGAGCCTGGGGAAAACGATGATGATACCGATCTAGCCGCAGGTATTTTACAGTTACCAGCTTTCCTATGAAGCAAAAAAACAGGAAAAGAGAAACCTTCTAGTTCAGTATTACTACATTTTGCTTCAGGACATAATACACACAAACACATCATGACACTGAAATTAGGTGATGATTGCTAAAAAGATCCAGTTTTTGTTACAGCTCAATACTTTAAATATAAAAATATTTCACCACTTAAAAGACCTCCAATCGCACCCATCTATTGTCATTTCTACCCATGTTTTGTTATAAACTCCCATTCCTTACCATCAAACCAAGAGCCATGTAATGCCTTGAAAGCCTTTCCAGCATACTCTGGAGAGAGACACTTGACATATACACAACCCTGCATTGAGAAAGAGAGGTTTGAGGGGTTTTTAAAAGTTCTACAGACAAGGATAAACAAAGAATTAAGATGTTACTGGAAAGACACTGACCTCACGTGAATTTTTGTCAACAGCAATATGAACAATTCCATCATTATCACTGCATTTCTCCAAGATTGCTTCTTGAATTGCTAGATGCCAGTGATCACCTATTTCCCTATGCAAACAATGAAAGATTTAATTAAGCACATAATTTTTTAAACATTCACAACAATCTCATGCTTCCCCACTGAGTGTGGTTTCTCTGTAACTTGACATGATTTTCTCTTAAATGCCGTTGGGGCAGATGTAGTACTTTAGCTATTGAATATTCAGTAAATTGGGTACTATGGTCCACTTCAGAAAATTCAACCCTAAGAATGAAAAGGAATAATCTGAATTTTTGGGGTTCGCTCTCCCCTTCCAGCAGCCTGCCACCATCTTCCTATATGAAACTGCAAACAGTCATAAACTCATCTTCCCACACCGGCTCGGACAGGCTGGCTGCTGTGCCAAGGAGAAGGCTGCTCCTAGGCTGTTCCCACTGCAGTGGAAGAAGAGCAGAGGAAGACAACAGTGTAAAGGCCTCTGCCCCTTTCTGGTATCACCTCTACCAGCACTCACAGAACAAACATTAGGTGTCAGGCTTCAGCAGGCTGAAGGAGCTTTTTAGCTATTCAGACACTGTTCATCACCGAAATAGCTATTCACCAGCCCAAACAAAGCATCAAATTGCATTTGTCCCGTAGGGTACTGATAGAACATGCCAATCTAGATCCAGAAATAGAAGTTATTAAAATCAGACTCCAATTTTGGGAGCTTTTCACAAAAAAAATTTGTTGTTAAGACTCATCAATCTTTAGGTACATCATTAGAGAAGACAGAATTGTCTAGGGTTTTTTGTGAAGGTACTGCAGGAACTATCTGGTCCTAATAAACTATAAGCAGAGAGAAAACAATTTCAACAGCCTTAATACACTTTTAAGCCTGCCTGAATAGTCTTTACATGAAAAACAATGAACTTACTCTTTCAATAATACTATCAAGAGCTTTGGGTAGTTTTAAAGAGTTTTCTCTACATAAGGCCAAAATCCTTGAAATATTTGATCTACCTTCCTCCTTATTAATGAAAAAAAAACCCAAAACATGGCAGGGGATGGAATGTACATAGGGACATTAACTGATCAGGGATGTTACACTTAAATCTGTCAAGCAGGACACTAACGTGACACTCGAGGGACTATGGCAACATGGAATGTCAGATTTGTTTCTGTCATTTGACCTCGATTGATTAGAGGATCAGAATTCCAGTTGATGCCCCTTATATAGGCAGATCATATATAAAGCAAACCAAAGTGGAAGAGGGACACAACGGTGCAAAGAAGATCCAAATGAAGGTCCTACTGGGAGAAAGACTTTCTAGTGGAAAACACCTACAATTTAAAACCCTGCAAGTTAGGAGAAAATGCATCCTACTCGGGGTGGAAGAGTTTTCTTTTCACTAGATAGCTCAAAATGGAGGGAATATACAAGTCTCCTTACCCTTCTCTAACAGTGTAAAGAACAGTATTTTCTAAATAGCATCCTGTGTTCAGGATTCTAGGGAAATAAAGTTGCAAAAGCCAGGACCTTTACAAGTTCCCCTCCAAACTATTCCATGATTCTGTAAAGTCTTGACTTCTGTGCATTCCTTCCCAGTCCAGGACTTAAGTCCAGATTTTCTTGGGAAGCATGCTGTCAGCAGCAGAAAGCCAGCTACCATAAGAAGGGATCATATTGTGAAGGGCAGTCAAACATCTTTTCTGCTGTCTATTCTTCCCAAATACCATGGTGACTGCATTACTCCCAAGTGCTCATTTCCTGTTTGCAAATCAAGCAGAACTGCATTCTCAGTCTGGTCTGCTTTTTGTGTTTTGCAGACCGGGGACATGAAACATCACGAGTTATCAGCCAACTTGGATTTCCCATAATGAAATAGGCTCCCTGGTAGAATGACTTGCCCTTCCCTGATCCTGCACA